CCCCAAAACCCCAAAACCCCAAAACCCCTGTATAATCCTGATATATTGAACAAATTTATCCCTGTTCTTAGCATAACTTCGGCTTAAGCCGAGGCTCACTGGGGATATCATTAAGAGAATCAGTGCTGTTATTTACTCTATTCACTTCAAGCTTATCGATGATGTACTTGTTCACAATATTTCTGAACTTTATTTTATGACTACTTTTTCTATTCTTAACACTACGATACAGCCAGATTCTTGGAGATTCCTCTTTAAGGCTCTCCTTTTGGTTCACCTGAACCATGGTAGCATTCTTAGGCGTAACTCTGTAGATTATTCATAAATCCTACATTTTGTGCCTAGTAGTCTCTAAAGAAGCAGGCTGGAAAAGTGCCAGGTCATTGTTATTCTTCTTTCTTGGTTTGTAGACTGTACTAGTTCCCATTCTAAGCTGGATTAAATAAGGAAATACCATGCATCTTTCTTTTGGAACTTATTCTTTGCAGTCATATTGAGCTGGGAGATTAGGAAGCTACCTATACTGTAACTGTGTACCCAAACCAGGACCATATGAAGTTGATTGGGTTTTCATCTTCAAATTTCAGTGCCTCTTTGCCCATTTAGGAGACACATTTAACCTATAAGTTAGTGTTTAGGTTTACTTTTTAGACTTTATCTTCTTCATCTCAAGAGGTTTGAAGTTCTCAGGAAGGTTAAATTTACGTTTATATGTAGTCATCTTGGTAATTTTAGGCACCAGAAAGTCAGAATCATCTATATAATTAGATATCTACAACTAACTTGTAAGATTTAAAATACTGAGGTTGGTATCTCTATTGATTACCCTTTGCATTGGGGTCATTTTTAAGGCTTGGGAGGTCTCTTGTCAGGACCGATTTTGTTGAATGCGCTTCCGTATAGTCTATTTATAAAGCCTAGCTCATACATTTTGGACCTCAATGGGACGTTCTGTCTCTTCCTTTGACTTCTCAATTAAGGGAAATAGACTATTTTGTGCTCTCATTTTCCTAGAAAGTAACTTGAAATCCTACATTTGATAAGCTGTTGAGGTCCTGAGTCATGACTTTGTCCAGGTTTATAATCTCGATCTATGGGTTGTATTCCTGATAAGTTACTATTTCATTTTTGCTCTGATTCTGCTTAGAAGTATCTTCTAGCGAGTTTTCAAACTTCTCACGTATTTTATTTTTCAAGTACGTTCTAGTCTTATTGAAAGAACTATGGATCAGGCTGATGAATTACTTGAGAGATCTATGAATCTTTTCCTCTCTTTTATGAATACTTGATGGACTAATATTCGGAATAAGGCTCAACTTTTTCGGACTCTTCATGCTCTAAAATCTAACTTGGGTATAAACTACTTTATCAACGATCTTCATGGGGTTGATGAACTGTCCTTTCCTATAAAATTATCTCTGCTTATTCTCTAACGTTACCTGAATGTTCTAGCCTTGAATTTATACCGAGAATTGGTTTTCCCACTAAAATCTGGATCTAAGGTATGTGTCTAAGATGCTGATTAAGAGCCAGAATACCTTCATTGGTAATATAACTAATTTTCTATAATTTTTTACCCATTTGGGGTTTTGGGGTTTTGGGGTTTTGGGGTTTTGGGGTTTTGGGG